GTGTGTGTGTGTGTGTGTGTGTGTGTGTGTGTGTGTGTGTGTGTGGGCGCGGGTGTGTGTGTGTGCATGTGTGTGTATGTGCGCGCGTGTTTGTGCGCGGGCGTGTGTGTGCATGTGCGCCTAAAGACTTATTGTGTGTGTATGTGCGCATAAAGACACAAAAAGACTTAGAAAAAATCAAGAGGAGGACATACGACAGAAGGAGGACCAACAACATAAAACTGATTGTGTGTGTATGAGTGTGTGTGTGTGTGTATGTGTGTGTGCGCGTGTGCCGAGGGAGGGGAGGGAGGACCCCTCCCCCATCAATCAATCAATCAATCAATCAATCAATCAATCAATCAACCAATCAATCAACCAATCAATCAATCAATCAATCAATCGATCAACCAATCAATCAACCAATCAATCAATCAATCAATCAATCAATCAATCAATCAACATTTATTTATTTTTCTATTTTTTTTAATTTTCTTTCCACCCACCAAAAACGACCCCCCCGAAAATTACTTTTTTTTAACTTTTTTTTTTTCAAGGGGGTAGGGCGAGGATTCTGGAACCCCAATCCGCAACCCCGACCCCCAACCCCCTCTCCCCTCAGCTGTTGCGGGCCACGACAAACCGCGGTCGCCACGGTCATGACCACGGCGTCACGGCCGCTGTCCGTGGTCGTGCCCGAGGTGACCACGATCGCTGGGCATTCATAGCCGTGGAGACCCGGGTTCGAAGATCCCATAATACCAGGTCCCGAGTAGAAGGATCGCCAAATCGATGTACAAAATTCCCTGAAAGATTTGGATTTGCAGATACCAGTACCTATTCCCTACCTGCTCACCATTTCGGAAGCCGCCAACGAGAAACTAATTGAAAGATGCATGAAGAACCGTCGTTGGTTCGAAGAAGGCCGAAGGCCCGGCGACGGGTTAAAAAGTTGGCAATCCACGACCCGTCGGTGGATATCGGAACTCAACCAATGACATCCACCTCAAAAACTCACAAGACCAACCGAGTCGGGATGATCCACGCCGTGGATCCACCACTGGAGAAACCTAAGGTATTTCTTCGGGCGTACCCGATTACTTGGAAAAATGTCGAGTGTGTGTCGGGTGTGATTGTGAGGTATGGGAAACTTCAAGTCCCTCAGCCACGATTCTGGATTCGGGATCGTCGGCTGTAGCTATCTCTTGGAGCGTGACGAAACATTTGGGTTGGGTGAAGCAGGTTCAACCCCTCCATCCAGATGAGCTGTATGTATCCGCCACAGAAGATAGTATTCACTGTAAGGGACGGATTATGGATGTTCCTATAAGAGTCGGGTGGATGCATTGTTTGTGTGAATCGGATGCGATTGTGTTAGATGTGCAGAGGTATGACGTGCTCCTAGGAATCCCGTGCCAGGCGGCGGTAGGCGAGCGGATGCATTTTGACAAGTCTAAGACAATGCTCACCTCGGCCCACCCTAAACCCCAAACGATACCCATGAGAATGGCAGTACGTATATGTGCACAACCAACCCCTCGCATTTCCACCGAGGTTCGCAGAGTCAACATGGTTGATTGGTGTCAATGGGCGAAGAAAGACTCGCGACAGGAACCGAGGATGTGGACGACCCCGACCGGTCTCCGATACGAATTCAAGACCGGTTCCGCCAACTGTGGTGACACGTGTAATGTTAGCCAGAGTGAGTCTAGTTGGGGTCATTTGTTCTCCTCTACTATGACAGGGGAACCATTGCTGAGGGTGTCATGAATAATTGACCTCTCGGAACCCCCTGCGTCCCTGTATCTTGGAACGGACCCCCTCCCAGAAAGGTTTGCCGAGCTTAGGGGGCTATGCGACCTATCTTTTAGGCCCACGTGACCTCTACTCACAGACGCCAAGGCCGCCATGCTTTTGGAGGAAAGGATAGCATTTCAGTCCGCGACCCCTAAAAACGCGCGGGGCCCGAGGGAACTCCTCCAGTCCTGTGTCGTCGCCCGTACGTATACGGCCCGTACGTACTCCCGTACGACCATACGTACGGGATCCCTGTCGTGCATACGGGCCGTACGTATGGGATTCTGGCCGTCCGTACGGGGTCTTCGAAGGGGGGCTCGGGCGTGATTTTCGGGTGGTTGGGTGTCGGGTGGCCATGGGAGTCGGG